ATTTTTTTGGAATTTTTGGAATTTTTAGATTTTTAGTTCATGGAGGGGCATTTTGGTAATTTGGCCATTTTTGTCAGTTTTGGCAAATTTTGATGTATTCAAAGTGTTTGGAATGAGTTTTGATCAATTTTAGGTATTTTGGCAAAATTTGTGAATTTTGGTCAAATTTGGATCCCAAGGGCAGTTAGGTAATTTGGAGGTGCCTAGGGGCAAAAGACCAAGTTAGGCATTTAACATAGAATTGGATAGATATCCATTCTAAATGAACCATGGATCAATGAAATCCTCATTTTGGGTCTTTATGGATTGGTTTTAATTAGTGTATTGTGAAGATATAGTAAGGGTATAATGTACCTTAACTTCAAATCAACACCTAGGGTTAATCCTAAGGCCAAGTAACCCTATAAGAACTCTTCTTGAGCTTTCCCATAAGGATCTTACCTTTTAAATGCTAGAGGTTAAGACCAATATGTGGAATCTCAAGTTGAGCAAAGAGAAGAGTTTGAATTTCTAATGGTGGGGTACCTCTTCTAATTTTCTAAGACTGGTCAATAGGAAAGTCCTATGGCTAGACCTAGGCTACTAAAGAAGTTTTCTAGACCTCAACCAAAAGTGAGGTCAACATCTTCCTTTGCTCGAGATCACACAAATAGTAACAGAGGCTCACAATCATGGTTGTTGATACGGTGATCTTATCCGAGCGAGCAACGTATTAGGTGTGAAAAATCGTGCGAACTAGAAGAATTTGGATGATTGAATTAGGGTTGAACTTCGCAGGTCTCTATGAGCACCAAAATTTGATGCCCCATCCCCTCTAAAAAAATAAATTAGAGAGTTTTACTTGATGTTCCATATCAAATTTTTAGCAGACAGATTAGATTGTAGATATGACAACACCCAGAGATACAGTGAGGGGACTTTCCGTGGTTGGTGTGTTCCTCTTTTTGCTAGGAGCAAATGCAGAACTGATTCATCAGGCTCGTGCAGGGCAATCGTTCCATTATGCAGTACGAGACTGAGTTCATGATGTTGTCCATGTATGCACCTCAGTTAGTCTCCAATGCCAAGGAAAAGTGTCATCATTTTCTTTCTCAATTAAAGGAGGTCATCTGATAGCCTTTAATCCCTCTTGGCATTCAGGATTACTCAGCCGTTGTGGAGAGGGCGAGGAGGATAGAGATTGACTTACCGGCTACGCAAAGGCGTAGAGATTTTCAAAAAAGGAAATGAGATGATAGGTCCAGATCGGGACAGGCCGCCTAGTCTGTCTAATTTGAGCAGTCTAGAAAGAAGAAGCCTCAACCCAGAAGCAGTGGTACTTGTAGTGGCACTGGCATTAGCAATAGGAGTATAACCATATGTGTCAAGTGTTAAATGGCACGTTGAGAAAAATGTTTGTCATGCACTAACACCTATTTTTTATGCCATCAGTTCGGACACATGGCGAGGTCCTTAGGCCAAAGACCCCAAGTTGATGCCAGAGTTACTGTTCCACCAACTCAGAGGACTTTCGGTAGAAAAAGGTCAGTTGAGTCGTCAAGATCAGCTCCAGCTCCGAGTCAAACCTGTCAGGGCGTATAGCCTAAAGTATATGCACTGATTCAACAGAAAACAGAAAACTGACCTGACATCACTATTAGTATTTCATTATTTCAGCAGATTTGTCAAATCTTTATTTATTTCGAGACTTTTCTATTTTTCTTTATTATAGGTTATACATCTATCTAAAATAAATTGGTCCTAACTTTATTTGATATCATCACATTCATTTATCTCTAAAGATTTTGTGAAATCTGATGGATTGGAATCATTTAGAATGGTTAATGTCTTATCAATTTTTCTGTCTAATGGGTCTAGCATGATAGTTGATAATAGTTGTGTGAATCTAAGCATTGTAATAGAAGCTTCAAGGCGGATTTAGTTGTGCTATCACTAACTGAGTTTGAAGTGATCCTAGGGATGGAATGGCCATCCAATCATTTCACAACCATTGATCGCTCTATTAAAATAGTAAAATTCATCTAAATATGTGTTTGAATTCAGCAGGTGAAACCCTACACGTTGTTTTCTTAGTGTGATAAGGAGGGTACTCCGACCATCATTTCGCCTTGATAATTCCAAACACTCGGGTCAGGTCGTGGCAAAATATGTATATAAAATTATGCAGTTGTTCGTAGTTATAAGTATCACGATGGCAGGTTTCATGCTGTAAGATAGTTGGAGCATACCGGTATACATAAGGGTATATCATGAGAGTTGACAAACACAGGAAGTGCCCTTCTTGCAGCTGCCGGAATCTTTTTCAGATTTTCAAGAGCTGTTTGAATTGAAGCTTTCATGTAACTGGAGCACAAATGTTCCAATGCAACATAATGTTCCAATTCAAAATTTGAAGTTTCCAACTCATTTCTGCATTCACTGCATTTAGCAGAAAGCTTCGCAAGATATAACCAATCAGCATCAACCATATGGCGTATTGTAAGAGCATTCTCCTGACTAATTCTACAAAACTGACAAAACTTTCTCGCATTTGCTTCTGGGTTTTTATTGAACTCATTTAATTTGGAAGAAATACCATCTTTTCTTCCAGAAAGGTTCCAGGTCACTAAGAATCTGCGCATAAAATGGTAGGACTGGCCAGGATAAATCTGTGCATTTGATGGACTAGAAACTTGAGCCCCATACCCTGAATCATAAGCCTCTCCAACTCCACTTTGTGAACAAAAATTGCCATATTCTTCCATTTGTAGTGAACGAATGCTGTTATATGTTAACTGACTGATAATATCCAGTTGCTCTGCCTCTCTTAGCATGGCTTCAGATGATGTTGCATGCAGAAAAGGTATATTATGGGTTTCTGTGACAAATTTATCAGAATTGAACTTCGCATTTCTGATGATCTGTTCAATCACACGGTACAACGAAGTGTCTTCTTCGTAATAGAAGTTAGATAGGAGCAGCTTTGAGGGAAAAGGAGATTCTGGAGAACAGCATACAATGACTTTTTTGCCTTTAGACCGAGGAGCTGCACAGAGATAACAACCAGCTACAGTCAGAGACGTCTGCAGGAAATTCAGAAGGAAAAAAACAAATATTACGAAATGAATTATTTAAAACAAGCATATATCAGAAAATGAAATGATATTAACACACTAGTATATGAGATAATGAACCTTGAAATTTGTAAATAATATCTTAACTAACGCTTTGAGGAGAAATAAATCATTTTTTGCAGTAACAACAGAGGTCTGAATCGCTTACGAATCAAAGAGCACAAAAGAAGAAACTCAAGAACCTTGTGATAGACTGGCACCTTGCCAGCCAAATAATCTAAAGATTTATTTTGGGCAAGGAGCTAAAAGAGCAATTTAGTAATTTATTATTTATTATTGTGGGTTATAAATAGGCCTAATATGTTTGGGTTAGGTTTATGATGAGATTGTTGTTTTGAGTCGTAGGGTTAATGCTTGGGAGAGATCACCTACCTCTCGAATTGTAAATGCTAGGGTTAGTGTTTGGGTGAGATCGACTAACTCACGAATTGTAGGTCCTTATCTTCATGTATTTGGAGTTGTATTGCTTTAATTTGATATTAACGGAATAAAATCTATTATATCTACCCTAATTTCTATGGAAATTATTCTTCCATTGGTATCAAATTAATATCAGAACATTTGATTCTGGGAAGGATCATTTACGTGAACTTACTTTGGTTTTTCCCTAATATGTGGGGAACAATTGCAGAGTAGAAGGATTGCGACATAGAAGGCATACAAAATCGCAGCTTACAGAGCGTCATGAGAAACATTCGCGACCACAAACAGGCAGGAACACTGCTTAAAGAGAGAAGGATCGCGAGTGGCTGCAATCAAAAGGATTCGTGCGTCATCAGAGCAGCATCGCTGCTTTAGGTGAATCTGGAGCCGCAACATCAAGCGAAGGAACCCATAGTGAACTCGAGCGGCAGCACTTGAAAGGAGTAATGCAAAATCCAGACGGTTGGAATGAAAAAACATGTGGGATTTAGCAAATGAGTCACTAGTATTTTCAAGCAACAGCATCTAGATGAAATATGCAACATTGTGCTGTTTGGAACAAGCGAAAACAAGTGAAACAGAACAGTGTGTGATTCGGTCTAAAGAAGATAGATTACAGGGAACCATGGTGGATGAGACCTCAATGGAGAGTTGCATCCAACTATGTTGGTGAACTTTGTTGATGACGCCTTCCAGAAAAAAGACGATTCAGAAGTAATTATGAAAACGAGGAAGGTGAAAAAAACCGAGGATTTTGAAGGGAACAAATTTTGACAATGCAGAGTATTCAAGAGGGAGACAAGATGGTGGTGTTTCATGGTGAACCTAGTTTATGCAAGACTTTGGTGAAACTCAAGACCATGGTGAGGGCAATTCAGGATGAAGGGCTGAGATTATTGATCGAGTTACATAGTATGAAAGAGATATGATATAGAGTTGACAGAGATTCTAGTGATCAATAAACTACAAGATGAGTTATTTGGGGTTGCAGCTCCAATATTGAATGGAAGTCAAGGCACCATCAGATTCTGATGCCGCCAAAGGATGTGCACAAGGTGTCATTTCAAACATATGAGGGTCACTATGAATTTTTTTATTAAATGAAAAGAATTACCAGATAATGACGCTAGGTGGGAGACATACAACTTGATCCAACAACAATTTTTTCCCTTCCACTACAAGGACAAGATGTTTTTTTGGGAGGAGAGTAATGATAAACTGCTAGCTAGCCCACCAAATAATTTGAAAAGTTAATTTAGGCACAAGGCTAAACGGGCAATTTAGTAATTTATTATTTATTATTGTAGGATATAAAATAAGGCTAATATGTTTGGGGTTAGGACGATGATGAGATTGTCGTCTTGAGTCTTAGGGTTAGAGTTTAGAAGAGAAAGCCTACCTCTCAAATGGTATGTGCTAGGGTTATGGTTTGGCAGAGATCAGTTACCTCTCAAATTGTAAGTGCTTATCTTTATGTATTTGAAGTTGTATTATTTTGATTTGATATCGGCGGAATAAAATTTATGATTTCTGCCCTTATTTATGTGAAAATTTGTCTCCGATTCATATCAACTTGCAGCATAAAGATTATCTTATCAAATAAGAATCTCACAACACAAAAATTATCTCACACAAAAAACCTTCTTGCCTATACCATCAACTCTTCTAAATCTTCCAAAAAACCTAGTCGCCAAACAGGTATGTGAGGAAGAATAGAAAGTTTTTATATGAGGATTGCCAATGCCACTAGCTTGATTGCATATTAACAAAATTCATCCTATGTGCAAAGCAGAAACCTGCCTTCTTTAGAAATGCAGAGACACTTCACATAAATACCAGGAACAAATATTTCTCATATTGCGAAACTCTTAGAGGCCATAAATCTCAATTCCTATGATTCTATAATAAGCCACAATAGATGAAAAAAAAGTCCATGAAATAAGATTGTGGGCACCGAGAATCAATGCATAACTCTTCTGAGAAAATTTGTGATTCTGGGTCAAATTTTGAAAAAGAGCATATTAGATTTTGAGCAAAGCACTACCTAAATATTTTGCCCTCATTTTGTGAAGGCTTTATAATTTGGTTTTAGATTTATCATAAATTTGAATCATTATAATTAGTTACCCCTCTCGATCATGAACTAAAAGTTTTGATTAAAGCAAATCACTAAATGTTAAGTGCTTAGTATTTAGTAACAGCAATTTATTTTTCAAAAAGAAAAAATATATATTGTCAATTGCTTTAGGCAAATGGTGAGGGGACTGATGACAAACTCGATCAAGATCCCATGATTCCATAATCTTAAGTTAGTGTGATCTCTGGCCTATTTATTCAATAAAGGTAATGTACCTTATAGACCTTAAGTGAATGTTTGTCAAAAAAGAAGTGAGGAGAGGCAAATGCAAGAAATCAAATGCACGAGTAAGAACCATGAGGATGTGCCATGGGCAAAGCAGGCCCAAGCAAGCAATGGAGAACAAGAGTTCAAGAGTTAGGATGACAATACAGTACTACAATAAATTAATCTTTCAAGGAAATAAATAACCATGGCAACATATCCATCTTAAACATTAAGAAATATTTTAAAAAACATTAAGATTAAATATTGGGCACATGCTAAAAACTTAATATGAAAAATAATTTGAACACCATATTTGTCCTGCATCATTGGTTTATTCTAGAGTTTTATAAAGAACTAAACAGAATGCTGATGAATTGCCAGCATTGATTAGCATCGAAGAGGCAAGAAAGTTAGATACCCTACATCAGTTGCCAAACCAACATCAAGTTTCATGCGTGTAGTGATGAACTAGCAATGTGCTTCATGAAAAGATGATGTTGATTATGATCACATAGAAAAAGTGATGAAAAAAACTTTGAGCCTAAGAACTGATCAAGATTACCATGCGGGCCCAAGATAGAGCTATGTGACTAGTTAGACTTCAAGCCACCCAGTTAGGCCTTACTTGGAGGAGAGAAGGGAAAAAGATGGCTGCAGCTGAGAAAATTGGATTGCACTTGAAGTTGGCAATCATTGGCAGGGTAGGAGAGCAGATGGGATATGACAACTATTATTTAATGCAGACAGAAGAATATCAAGGTGGGTACACTTAATAAAAGTAACATGGCATGGTAGGATATAGAAGAGTTTGATTTGCTGAGCCAAAAAATTTGAAGCTGCATGCTTTAAGGCGGCCGAAGTGGAAGTGCTACAACTAAGGACATCAAAGGAGAAAGGTTAGATATAAAGGGGATGCTACTTTGGTATAAAGATCAAGTGACGTGTTTGAATGCATTTCTATTTCATTATTTGGCTTGAAGTTGATGAGATTGCTTTTATAGTTCTTTTCCTTCACAAATCTGACATGAAATAATTGAAATTGAATTGTCGAATTTACTTTGCATGTACTTTCTCTAGACCATATTTCATATGTTGCATAAAAAAGGTCCAAATGCACCAAAATATTATTGGTTAAACAAAAGCTATTGTTATTAATATTAGCCAGTTATGCATAAACATTTAAACATAATTTTCTTTGATAGAAATGGTCCTGATCTATCATAAAATAAAATTCAAAATCTGACAGCATTACATAAAGAACACCAGTCTCGAATAATTTTAATGATCAGTCAGTAGAAAAGATGGTCAGATAGTATTAGCAACTGCATTTCCTATCATCATCAGTAATAAAAAATGAAGATACTTTGATAGCAGATCTCCTCATGAAATTTAGTTTGATTATGCAAATAATTTAATTTCTTAACTGTATCTATCGAGGAATTTTCAAGTAAGAACATTAGTAAAGAAAAAAAAAATTTATAGTTGCAAAAGTCCGTAGGAACAATAAATCATATTATCTGAATGTTAAAGCAATTTAACCGGTCAGTTACTCGAAAAATTAAGGAGGATACAAATAAATAGAACTGGCATGATAAATCTTCATGGACCTTGCAAGGGATGTTTCGGACATACTGAAGTAGTAGCTTCATAGCACTGCCACGAATTGGCCTTTGTCTTTGTGAGATGAACTGTTTAACGAAGAAGAAACATTTCCAAGAAGGGTTGAGCAAACCTTGATAGTTGTTTGAGGAGAATATTGTATATTAAAGTGCTTCTTGAGCAAAAGATGTTACCGTAGTAAGTGGCATACCTGCAAGATCATTACTAGAAATTTTGAAAGAGGTAGATCATCAACGTTTGATGGATCAAGCTTCTCAAGATCAACAATGCCATAACCTTCCTGCAATATGATTAAAATTGCAAATTTTAGTAAAATAAAATTTGAATAAGACAATCCATTATAATCTGCATTAATTGCAACAACAAAAATATCCAAAGGTCCTTGATGTTTGGCTTCACATTGCACCACAACTTAATCAAATTATGATGAAAATGAGTAATATTTGATTTTAAAACAAAGATTAGATTGATAAATAGGATTTATGGCAGAGAATGGAAGGGCTTATACATGGGGGGCACATTGATTAAAAGACATAAATATCACATGTTTTTTGCAGAAAATTATAAAAACGTTAAGTTAACAATAAAGTTTTTGTAGGGGTAACAGTGAGAAAACATTGAAAAATAAATTTATTGAGTTTAATGTAATTAATCATAAGAATAGTGTAACTGTAGTTACTGATTAGGCCCCTCAAGTTCAATTAAAACAAAATTCTAAAATCAATTTTATGGGAACATGAATAAAATATTATATGAGGGGAATAAAGAATAATTATTAATGATTACAAAAAATAGCCATTAAGATTCAAGTAGGATGCGTTATGAGATTGATGAAAACACTGTAAGGATTTACATAGGCCATATATTAAAAACAAACAAGAGAATGTTGAAGTGGATCCAAAGGAACAACAAATAGGCCTACAAAGACAATTCACTAGATCTCTAGCTAAAGCCTAATTCAAATCAAGAAAAAAAAAATGCCTAGTTAATGTGGCCACTCTCCCTCCATTTTCATATATATAATTTTTTTTTTTTTTTTGGAATGATGTTAATGGCTGAAAATAACCAGCACTCTATGAAGGAAATTATCTTTTGGCAATTTGCAGATATATTTCAGTTTTATTAACTTGGATTGAAATTTTGGTGTATTATTCTTGAATTTTGTTGACGGGATATCTAGTTTTCCAACACAGCTTACCTTGGTTTCCAACAACTAAGGTTACTCATTCTCTTCTTCTTCATAGTAGATATCATTTCCAAACATCCTCCAAGCCTCCAACCATTCTTCATAAGTCTCCACCATCAGTCTAACCATCTGTGTAACGTGCCATTTCTCTTACCTGGAGAGAGGAATCGATGAGCCAAGTAGAGGGAGAGAAATCGAAGAACCAAGGAGAGGGAGGAAAAACAAAGAGCTGAGCAGGGGAAAAGGAAACGAGGGGAGATCGGAAATCCAAAGAGGTGATGTTCGCCCTATAAAATGTCGCGAGAGGCGGGAGCTCTTGTTCGTGCAGTTAGAGAGCAGAGGAAGGTGGAAGGAGAGGTGTTGTGTGATTTCTTACCTCACAAAATGACGTCGTGCACTGAGCTTGAAGGAAGAAGAGGATAGCTGCATTTCTTTGCTTCATCAAGCCGCGACTAAAGATAGAAGTATGGGAGCCGAGCATTGAGTGCGACAAATTTGTCGTGCCCTGATTTGCGATAAGAAGATGATGTTGAAGAAGGAAGGAGCGGTTTTGTCAAGAGGAGGGAGGGGAACCTCGCGTGGATGCTGTCGTGCAAAAGAGGAGGTCATGCCACCATTCGAACGCAGAGAAGAATGGGGTTGCTTGCATTCCACTTGACCTGATGTGCCTAACCACTCGATTCCTACCTTCCACTGCTCTCTAACTGCACGAACGAGAGCTCCCGCCTCTCGCAACAATTTATAGGGAGAGCATAACCTCTTTGGCTTCCCGACCTCCCCTCGTTTCCTCTTCCCCTGCTCAGCTCTTTGTTTTTCCTCCCTCTCCTTGGTTCTTCGATTTCTCTCCCTCTCCTTGGCTCCTCGATTGCTCTCCCCAGGTAATAGAAACAACACGTTAAACAGATGGCTGGATTGAAGGTGGAGACTTAATTAGGATTACATAAAATAAAATAATGGAATTTAATACTTAAATAATTAAAAGTTAATAGTTTATTAAAAAAAATTAATTAATTAAATTTTATGTCATTTTAGGCTTCCAAATTTAGAAGAGTCGGTCTTAAAGCAAATTACTCGATATCAAGGTGAGTGTACTCATATTCTTTTGCTATAGTAATATTTTGTTTCTTCTTGAACAAATACATTTAGTGCCACTGTTATAGCAATGCATATTCATGATTTATGGTTCTATTAAATTTTGTTCATATTATAAGAATGATTTGTATGCTCAGCTTCGTTAAAATTATCATAAATATTGAGTCTTGTACAGATTGCATGCAAATGAGACTGAAATATTCATTATTAGAAAGTGAAATTTTATTGTATACTTACATGTGCATGTTTGACTATAATTTAGTCACCTATATGTGATATTAGCGGGGGGAATGCTAAGGTATCTGAGCACATAAATAGAAAAGAAAATTGATACTGAAGTACCTTAAATGATATAATATTTATATTGTACTCTTGTGGTAGTTATACAGATACAAAGTGATGTATATTATTAATATAGTAGCATTCTTTGAATAACATCAAATATTTAAATTGATTTATTAAACGCTTAACTAACATGTATATTATTTTTTTCTTTGTATTACTAGTATTTAAAAGTATGAGTATTTACAAGCTTATTTAGCATATTATTATTTTAAGCTAAATGTTCAGGTTAATTAAGTTATTAAAAGATGAGCAATATAATGGATAAGATGCAGGTAAACTGTTATGAGATAAAATTCAAATTATACAGACTTAAATTAATTTTTTTAGTGAAATTTTCATTTGTAAAATATTATTTATAGAGAATGAATATAAAAATTTAGTTCCCACCATCCGACCGTTTATACCAGTCTTGGTGAATTCCAAACCATGATCCGAGTCGTGACAAAACTGCTATCAGAACAAAAGATTTAGGATTAATTAATAAAATCTTAATGAAAGAGCCAAAAGGATAATTATAAGAAAATTTTACTAATAATAAAAATTATAAATTAAAATTTACTCAAATTAATAAGTATATCCATTCAGGCATACTAATACACCAAAATTATAGAAGGGAGTCCGATAGAAAATTTATGGAAATATGATGTTGACCTGCTTAATGATATGTGACTTGCGATCCATTTAAAGATAAAATTTTTGTAAGTGGGAAAAATTGTAACGTCATGTTTCTGTTACCCGGGGAAAAGAATCAAAGAGCAAAGGAGAGGTAGAAGAATCGAATATCCAAGAGAGGGAGAGGAATCGAAGAGCTAAGGAGAGGGAGAGGAAACGAAGAGCTAAGCAAGGGAAGAAGAAACAAGGGGAGGTCAGAAAGTCAAAGAGGTGATGTTCGCCCCATAAATTATAGCGAGAGGCGGAAGTTCTCGTTCGTGCAGTCAGATAGCAGAGGAAGGAGGGGTATTGCGTGTTTTCTTACCAGAGGAAATGATGTTGTGCGATGCGCTCGACTGAAGATGAGGACCACCGAGAATACAGATTGCTTGCAAATGAGACTGAAATATTCATTATTAGAAAGTGAATTTTATTGTATGATTGCATATGCATATTTGGTTATGATGAAGACACTCATTTATGGTACTAGTGAAGGAACGCTAAAGTACTTGTGCACATAAATGGAAGCATCAGATATTTATATTGATTTATTAAAAGTTTAACTAACATACATATTACTTTCTTCTCCCTCGTATTACTATAGTTTAGGAGTATAAGTATTCACTGATTTTTTTAGTTTATTATTATTTTAAAATAACTTTTCAGATTAATTAAATGATTAAAAGAAGAGCGG